TTAACACGATTGCTAGTCTTATCCCTTACAGACCAGCGTAATTTCATGCGGAGTTCACTCGTAAAGCTTTTAACGAAACTGATGTAAAATACTTTAAGAGCAACGGCCTAATTTATCTGCATATAACTAACTTATTATTATAACTTATCGCGTGTTAGCGCGTCTGACGATAACACTCCCTCTGGAAATAGCTGTCGGAAAGCAAATGAATTTTTATCCAAGTAGGCCTATCAACGCTAGACTATAGAATATCGGAGAGAGCTGTAAAATAGCAGCAATCGAGATGTTTCTCGCTATAGAAGCGTGTACTTACGTAATATACATGTAAAGCGCGCGATGTGCACGCTTTTTTACGCGTAGCTTTTATCGTCTCGACATTATTTTTCGCTAAGATTTATTACACTAGTGAGATCGATGAATATAAGTAGAGGAGGAAAATTATTGAGTGTTGCGGTTCGTGTGTATCTAAAGGTGTAATGGATATTTTTTCTAGTTTTTTTTTAGCTAGCTATAAATTCACACATTGAGGAAGTTGATTTGAAAATATATGACGTGGCAACTGCAGGTGCGTCTACTTGCGTCGTTTCCGAGACAAGCTAGCCGTAAACGTGCACGCACACAATCAGCTCAGTTGATCACCCCACGCCACGACAGACGCGCAGAATAAACGCAACAGAGCGATACGCATTGTTTTGCCGTCATTTTGTTTTATCTTTTCTATATGAATTTTTTTTAAATATATTTTTTAAATATATATTCCGTATTATTGTTTTAACTATATATATTCTTTATTATTCGAGTTACATATTTAGTCATAATAACTCACAGCCTGATTCAAAGTCGCTACCTGCCGTCAGATTCTTGTCTCTAAATTCCCGATTTTTCTCCACAACAGAGCGAACTCATCCCAAACAACAAGAGACGTCGCTCGACCAGGACGGAAGTGGAGGCGACGACAGATCATCGCGTCAGGGAAAACAACGAAGTCGTCGACCGACACGAGACGTTGGAGCGACAATCGCCGACGTCGCGGAAGACGAGAAGCGGTCGTTGCACACGACAGTCGTCGTATTGTTCCGCAGGCAAGCGGAAAGCGAAAACGATCGACCGTCGCCTCGCGAGTTCTCTTCCCCGTCTCATTTGTCGTTTCTCCTCGTCGTCTACTTCTTGTTGCTATTACAGCAAGTACACTCTGTCCCATGACCTCACGCTGCTGGCTAAGCGACAGCGGCGCCCTCGTCTCGTCATCATCGTCGTTGTCGTTGTCGTCGTCGTCGTCGTCCGTCGTCGTCTAACGCATGCTGCTAGTGACAGCCGATGTCAATCGGCAACGAAAATTAATCAACTCGTCCCCGTCGACTGCGACGTCGTTGGGTGAAACGGATATCTGGTCGATGAGGGGAGGGAGAGACGCGACGATTGTTGTCAGGAGTCCAAACGCTCAATGTCTTGCTCAGCGGTTTCTTTGCTGGAGTTGTCGGCAAGAAAACTGTCGGCACTCCAGAGTTGTCGGCAAAAGAATTGTCGGCGAGAGAACTGTCGAGACTTCATTGTTGTCAGCAAAAGAAATTGTCGCAAGAGAGCCGTCGGCAAAAAGAACTGTCGGCAAAGAATTGTTGGCAAGAAAGTTGTCGGCAAGAGGTGTTGTATGCGCAGTCCATGTGAGGTGCGAGAGAGTCCCGATGCACAACAACAACAACACACAACACAACAACGAACCAACAACAACAACAGCTAGTGTAACATACGAGAGGAAGCGATTTTCTACTGCATCGCACTGAGCTTAATTCATGTGCGCGCGTGCGTGTGTTCGGCCCGTGCGTAGCGGTTGTGTCGGCGTCTCGTGCGTTGCGTGTAGTGCGCGCGTGCGTGCGTGGTGCGGCGTGATACAGCGGTGTGATAATCGATGTGTGTGGTGCGCGTGTGGCGCGCGTGGCGTGGGCGTGGTGCGTGCGGTCGTGCGTTGCGTGTGTGCGCTTCGTGTGTGATGCGTGTGCTGTCTCGCGTGTGTGTGTGTGTGCGTGCGTGCGTTGTGTGCGCCTCGTCTGCGTGCGTGTTGTGTGCGTGTAGTGCGTGCGTGTGCGTGCGTGTGTGCGTTGTGCGGCGCGTCCCGCCGCTGCGGTGTGTGTGCGTGTGTGTGCGTGCTGTGTGGCGTGGCTGTGTGCGTGCGTGCGCGTGCGTGCGTGTGTGCGCGCGTGATACAGCGGTGTGATATAACGATGCGCGTGCCGTTGCGTGTGGTGTGCGGTGGTGCGTGGTGTGGCGCTGGCGTGAAGTACAGCGGCTGTGATCACGATGCGCCGTCGCGTGGGTGTGTGTGGCTGCGCGGCGTGCGTGTGTGCGGGCGTGATACAGGCCGGTGTTGATAAGCGATGCGGCATGCAGCGTGTGTTGTGGCTCGTGCGTGCGTGTGTGCGCGCGATGATAGCAGGCGGTGTGGATAGAATGGCGGCGTGCGTGGGGTGTGTGCGCGTGACGTCGCGTGTGTGCGAAGAGAGAGAGAGAGAGAGAGAGAGAGAGAGAGAGAAAGAAAGAGAAAAGAAGAAGAAGAAGAAGAAGAAATAGAAGAAGAAGAAGAAGGAGAAGAAGAAGAAGAAGAAGAAGAAGAAGAAGAAAGTAAATTGTCTTTGCGTTTTAATGATATCTCGCAGCCATCTCGATAGTTTCACCCTAGTTTTGCTAAATGACCAAAATATTGTCATGAAAGTTAAACGCCCCAACGAAATGACAATCATGATAATATAACCTAGAGATTATTAATTATGATGTGCTCTAGCAACGAAATGTTGTCATAATGTCGAGTATAAAAAAAACCTGAATATAAATGAAATGGAGTAATCGTGTTGTAACTATGCATGGCTTCTTTTATTAGCGATGCATTCATGAGGATATCCACTGATATACACTAACGGTGTTCCTCCATTCCAAGAATGATAATAAACTCTAACCACGTACGTAATGGTAACGAGTTCTAGCAGCATATATATTGAATAATAGATTTGTAAACACACGCACGCACGCTCGCACGCACGCACGCATACACTCACGCATAGTTACCGCATAGCATCATATAGATATCCTATTGAACCTTTAGGTATTTACCGTGTAGCTATGATATAACAGCCATTAATTATTATACAACCAGATGCACCTAATGACAAGTTGCTAAAATAATCTGCGCAGGATAACTATGAAACAATAACTAATAATACCGCAAAATTTAACTGCAATCACATATAATTTCCGTTAAACTAAAAGAACAATCCGATTGATCAGGCATGAAACATTTTTGGCTAGAAACGCTTCACAATTATTTTTCCCGCCAGAGTGCAGAATGTGTACGCTGGCTGCTATTCATTCGGCTGCATTATATAAATCAATCAATGATAGAGCTCTCTCTCTCTCTCTTCCTCCTTTCTCTCTCTCCCCATTTCTCTCTCCGCCCTAATTCACGAGCTCTCTCTCTCTCTCTTTCTTTTCCGTGCACACTCTTTCTCACTGTCTTTCTGCTTGTCATTCCCATTCACTATCTTCCCCTCTTCATCTATTCAACTTCCTATTTCTCTCGCTGCTCTCTTCCTGTTCCCCAGTCCCCCTTCTCTATTGATCGCCCTCTCTAAGGCTCTCTTTATTTATGTTTTCTCTTTTGTTCTTAATCTGGAATTTCGGAGAAAACTCAGTATCATCCCGACATCGAACATAGATGGCGTTAGTACCGCGTCGGTTACGCTAATCTCAGCAATGACGTAATTCCGCGTTTTCGGCGATTTTTTATACTTGTGAGTGTGTCGCGCGCATGCGCTGTTTAGCCGCAGGCACGTGTTTTGTTTCAGCATCGCCTTGTCGTTCAGCAATGAATGATGTTTCTGGCGGCGATAGTAAAGCAGCGTCAACGTCTACACGGATCGGCGCCGCCGATGTTTACGCTGCACCACGAGCAGACGATATCCAAGCGTATATTCCATCGTAGGAGGTGCAACATGCGTGCTTAGAAGAACCGAGTAAATTTTTTGCCTACATTATGCAGTCACATCATCAATGCAATACGTTGCAAAATATCTCATCTATTGTTTCGACAGCAGCCTATATATACGCATTTTAACACGATTGGCTAGTCTTATCCCTTACAGACCAGCGTAATTTCATGCGGAGTTCACTCGTAAAGTCTTAACGAAACTGATGTAAAAATACTTAAGAGCAACGCCTAATTTATCTGCAATCATAACTAACTTATTATTATAACTTATCGCGTGTTAGCGCGTCTGACGATAACACTCCCTCTGGAAATAGCTGTCGGAAAGCAAAATGAATTTTTATCGCAAGTAGGCCTATCAACGCTAGACTATAGAATATCGGGAGAGCTGTAAAATACAGCAAATCGAGATGTTTCTCGCTATAGAAGCGTGTACTTACGTAATATACCATGTAGAGCGCCGATGTGCACGCTTTTTTACGCGTAGCTTTATCGTCTCGACATTATTTTTTTCGCTAAGATTTATTACACTAGTGAGATCGATGAAATATAAGTAGAGGAGGAAAATTATTGAGTGTGCGGTTCGTGTGTATCTAAACGTGTAATGGATATTTTATTCTAGTTTTTTTTTAGCTAGCTATAAATTCACACATTGAGGAAGTTGATTTGAAAATATATGACGTGGCAACTGCAGGTGCGTCTACTTGCGTCGTTTCCGAGACAAGCTAGCGTAAACGTGCACGCACACAATCAGCTCAGTTGATCACCCACGCCACGACAGACGCGGCAGAATAAACGCAACAGAGCGATACGCATTGTTTTGCCGTCATTTTGTTTTATCTTTTCTATATGAATTTTTTTTAAATATATTTTTTAAATATATATTCCGTATTATTGGTTTTAACATATATATATTCTTTATTATTCGAGTTACATATTTAGTCATAATAACTCACAGCCTGATTCCAAAAGTCGCTACCTGCCGTCAGATTCTTGTCTCTAAATTTCCGATTTTTCTCCACAACAGAGCGAACTCCATCCCAAACAACAAGAGACGTCGCTCGACCAGGACGGAAGTGGAGGCGACGGACAGATCATCGTCGTCAGGGAAAACAACGAAGTCGTCGACCGACACGAGACGTTGGAGCGACAATCGCCGACGTCGCGGAAGACGACGAAGCGGTCGTTGCACACGACAGTCGTCGGTATTGTTCCGCAGGGCAAGCGGAAAGCGAAAACGATCGACGTCGCCTCGCGAGTTCTCTTCCCCGTCTCATTTGTCGTGTTCCTCGTCGTCTACTTCTTGTTCTATTACAGCAAGTACACTCTGTTCCTCATTGACCTCGCTGCTGGCTAGCGACAGCGGCGCCCTCTCTCGTCATCATCGTCGTTGTCGTTGTCGTCGTCGTCGTCGTCGTCGTCGTCTAACGCATGTGGTAGTGACACCGATGTCAATCGGCAACGAAAATTAATCAACTCGTCCCCGTCGACTGCGACGTCGTCGGGTGAAACGGATATCCGGTCGATGAGGGGAGGGAGAGACGACGATTGTTGTCAGGAGTCAAACGCTCAATGTCTTGCTCAGCGGTTTCTTTGCTGGAGTTGTCGGCAAGAAAACTGTCGGCACTCCAGAGTTGTCGGCAAAAGAATTGTCGGCGAGAGAACTGTCGAGACTCCATTGTTGTCGGCAAAAGAATTGTCGGCAAGAGAGCCGTCGGCAAAAGAACTGTCGGCAAAAGAATTGTCGGCAAGAAAGTTGTCGGCAAGAGGTGTTTGTATCGCAGCCATGTGAGGTGCGAGAGAGTCCCGATGCACAACAACAACAACAACAACAACAACAACAACAACAACAACAACAACAACAACAGCTAGTGTAAATACGAGAGGAAGCGATTTCTACTGCATCGCACGAGCTTATATTATGTGCGCGCGTGCGTGTGTGCGCCCGTGCGTGCGTGTGTGTGCGCGTGCGTGCGTGTGTGCGCGCGTGCGTGCGTGTGTGCGCGCGTGATACAGCGATGTGATAACGATGTGTGTGGGTGCGTGTGCGCGCGTGCGTGCGTGTGTGTGTTCATCCCTCGTGTCTCGGCACGTTAGGAATTTTTGTAACATGGTCATTTTTATGCCTCCACCGAATCGGTTTCGTTCCAAACAACTTTCCCGACGATCGCGCCGCCGCTTTTTGCCGCCCTAGTGCATAAACCCGGCGAGCAGTAAATAAAAACGTAAACAAACTAGCAATGGGGTCTGCCAGGAAGTGGCAATAACAAGTGGTTGAGGATTTATCGATGTTTTTCTCTAAGAATGTATTTTCTCTAAGCGCCAGAAGGCCTGCGCGTGTATGTATATACACACACACACACACGCGTCGCTTTGTCGTTCATCATTCTGCCATTAAACCTCCCAGTGATTCGTCTACCACCGCCTTGCTGCCGGTCGCCACGTCTTACTCCGAACATCCAGGAATAGTTCCCAGCGTTGCTTCGTACACTTTTCCCGTGGCCCATGGCAGCCAGGGACTGTGTCACTGCCTGCGCGAGTGATTATACATATACTCTCGTGTTGTAGTGAATTAAAGGGAAAACGAATCGGGCGCCCACGCGTCAACATTTCCTCTGCTAAGTTCGTTTGTTATGATTTCCCAAGATGGCGGACGCATCGTTTGCTCGTCTGCGTCACTCGTCAACAATCAATTCTAAATCTGTTTACGCTACGAGTTATTTACCGCAGCAATGAAACGTCGCACGGCGGAGATAGCTAGTGGCGTTCGTTCCAGCGATTTATATACGCACGCGAGATTCCACGTGGATATCAAAGTTCGACGTAACATTCAGACGACAGTTCGCATGCATATGCATCGCGGTTGTCCTCCCGATAACCATAACATATATATCCGGTCGAATAAATCGCTAGTCGGATCCGCGTTTCCTGTTCGAAGATCGATTCTATTTATACTTGTTACGCGTGCGCTGTCATCATCATCATCATCAGGTAGTAATTTACGCCTTCTGCTTGCAGCCACCACCTGATTACCGGAAGACATTAGAAAACAGAACCCGCGTCGATTTATGCGATATCGGGTGTAAATATAGCTAGTTTAGTCGAGTGAAAAACAGCTAGAAAACAAGCGGGCCGTTTAGAAAAGGAGAGCACCGTACGGCAGTAAATCGCGAGGCTGTCTCGCGCTGCTCGGATTGATCGTCCAATGATAACGAGCGAAATGCGAAACTACTTCGAGGCAGCGCTTCTGTTCCCCCCGGGAAATTACGTCGATCTGTCGTTCATCGAACGACGTCGATCTGTCGTTCATTCGTCATGATCGTATATCTATCGGTTAGTGGAAATAGTCGGTCTGTCGTTCATTGAATAGCGGCGGTCTATCACTCCGTAAGACCCACTAGTCTGTCATTCTGCGTGGTGGTTTTATATAGACAGCCTGAAAACAGCTGCGAATGTAGCCATCATATAGGTCTATGGATTTTTGCACACTGTTTAAACATACTTGATATAGAGAAAGGATATATGGTAATAAGAGAGTTTAAATGCGTTCAGTCATAATGTAAATTGATAAATAATATTGCTAAACTCAGATATAATATCAAATCTTGCGAAATATGTCGAGCAGCTGCTCAACGGATACAGTTTATATTATATCGTCATACTATTTCATATATAAACAAACACGAATATTTATCACATTGTGTTTTTTACTATAAAATGTTGGCCGTGGAATGTGACGATCAGATGTGCAACGGATACAGTTTTTTTTATATCGTCATACTATTTTATATAATTATAAACAAATGCGAATATTGATTACATTATGTTTTTTACTACCGACGGCAGTGCTTTTACGAATATTATGGCATAGTGTGTTATATGCTTCAGGAAGTGTTCAATATGGTAGCTTATAACTCACGCTTAACAAGAGAAAAAGAATGAACAGCTGCATTTCGATACCATCGACAAAAATCAATCACCACGTTTTGCGTGGCAAACAGATTGATCAAATGCGACCATAAACTCTATTCATCAGCTCTCTCTCTTTTATATCTCTCTATATCTATTTTATCTTCGCGCTAATGATGCAAGGAAACAGAACGCAGCCATCGCGGTCTCCCCGGGAGGAAGCTCCCGGAACAACGGTCGCTTTCATGGCTTCCTAATTCAAAGATGAGAGATAACCCGCCGATGTGTGTATCATAAGAAGAGGTCAGTATTCGACGCGAGTTTGGGGGCGGGAAAGTATGACGACCTCGATAGAGAGAAAATAGCGCAACCTAGGCGCGGAATGGACACTGTGCCTCTGTGAGGACATGGCAGCAGGAGGGATAAGTGCGGCAAGGTGATTGCTGCAGTCTCTGAAAGCTGCTACACGAACGATATGAGCGCATCACGAGAAAATAGGTGTTGCGGGGCATATATATTAGCTATAACAACGACGCGAGCATAATAGGGTTATAGCTGTAGAATGCACAGTAACAAGTGGATTGTTATAACAGACAGGGTAGGGATATCGCCAATTCCCAATCTTCCAACTTGAAGGATGGCTATAAAATTACGACGCATAATGTGTTGTCAATGACAACTCTTATTTTATGCTACTGCTTAATTAACGACTCCTTACTGATGCTCGGCGTCCAGTGCTGCTCTTGCTTAATTAGCGTATAACTCATCCAAGCATCTTATATTCATGATTGTTCTGGAAATTGCATCTGCATTGATGAGCTTTTAATTATATCTCGAACGCGATATAGTGTCGTACGCGCTAGCGATTTCCGAGACGCTTGATTGTTGAAATCGCGAAAAATATTGGCTTTTAAATTCAGCGTAACCGCGTTCGAATAAAGATGTAATTGTTTACAGTTTACAGTTTTTTTCGTGCTGCTGTAAAGCAAAAAATTAGTGGAAGTGTCGGCGTTGCGAGGCCAACAGAGACCCGCTCTTTTGTTTATATATGGCAACGAGATTCAGATCTTTTGTTTATAGATGGAGGTTGAGAATCAAACGCCGCTCCCGCGTTTATTAGACACAGAAGCCAAACTCGTCCGATACGCGACTGATGGAACTTTTTACATCGAATCCGAACCTTAACTGTTTAGATTACATAATCATAGCCGCTAAAAAAATGGTTACGCTACGGAACTAAAACGCCGCGTGAAATTACTTCTCGGAAACCCATCCCCTAGTTCGAACTATTGCATCGACGCGTCAATGAAACAGGAAGCGTACTTGTATATATACGCGTGTATATTGCGTGTGAACCGGAACCGACTCACTATTGATATTTACACATTAAGAATGACTAACACGTATATATATATATATAAATATATAGAGCCGACAACGTTGGCTTCCGTTCGTTCGATTTTATTGCGCTCCGATTAGAATAGATTGTGACGTAAATACTTACGTCATTCCCTCCTCGTAGACAAGGTCGTATAGCACGAGTAACCCTTGCGCAATCCATCTACTACCAATAATAGATATAACTACATCTAGCTTGATCTATTCTTGCTAGTTATCTATTTTTGCTAGTTTGCTATTTTTACTAGGTACGTACCAATTTTTGCTAGGTACCAATTTTTGCTAATTATCCATTTTTGTTAGTTACCTATTTTTGCTAATTACGTATTTTTGCCAATTACCTATTTTTGCTAATTATTTATTTCTGGTTCTATCTCCTACGTGCCTTTCGGCGAACGCGACAAAAAACGAAGCGAGGCAGCATGTTAAAACTATAGCCGGTGATATTCGCACCCACGCAGACGCTCTTCTCATTCTAACTCTCTATTTCCGCCACTCCTGCAGCATCCACGTTGCAACATACCGTGACGAAACGACCCACTCAACCAGTCCGTAAAATCGGAATAACGGTCGTTATGCGCGCGTTTGTCGCTAGGTGGCGCTGCGTCGCGTGGTTGCGCGGCTAGCAACCGGCAGCAGCGGTAAGTGTGTTCGTGTGTGCGCGCGTGCGTGCGTGTGTGCGCGCGTGCGTGCGTGTGTGTGCGCGTGCGTGCGTGTGTGCGCGCGTGCGTGCGTGTGTGTGCGCACGTGATACAGCGGTATGATAACGATGTGTGTGCGTGCGTGTGTGCGCGTGCGTGCGTGCGTGTGTGTGCGCGTGCGTGTGTGTGCGCGCGTGATACAGCGGTATGATAACGATGTGTGTGCGTGCGTGCGTGTGTGCGAGTGCGTGCGTGCGTGTGTGTGCGCGCCTGCGTGTGTGTGCGCGCGTGATACAGCGGTATGATAACGATGTGTGTGCGTGCGTGTGTGCGCGTGCGTGCGTGCGTGCGTGTGCGTGCGTGCGTGCGTGTGTGTGCGCGCGTGATACAGCGGTGTGATAACAGCGAG